TATCCAGGTCTAAGCTAAAGGAAAATTGAGAATACATTCAACTTTTTAAAAGATTTTTTTTAAAATTGTAGATGGAAGCAATACCTTTACTTTATTTATTTATTTTACTTGGTGCTGAGGATCAAACCCAGTGCCTCTCCACTGACCCATAACCCCAGCCCCTACATCCAACTTATTTAGGGGACACAAATGTCAGAATTAAATGTATTACCCTGTTTGTCATCCCTTGTTCTTTGTGAACTATAGAGGAAAAGTTTTTGTTAGTTCTGTAAAACTTTTTTTTTTTTGCTACCCCAGTGCAGGGGATAGAACCCAGGTCCTTGAGCACACTGGACAAATGCTGTCCCACTGTACTATATCCTCAACCTTTTGCAGAACTCCATCCCCGCTCACCGCCCCCCGTACTGAGGATTGAACCCAGGGCCTTGTGCATGCTCTGTGTAGAGCTCTTAACTGCTCTGTTCATGATTTCTGATCAGTTAACCAAAAGCCAAGGGAAGGTTTCCTGAGAAAAATACTGGAATTAAAGAATGCCAACTTAACTCTCTGTTCTAATGTGCTAATTCCAAGCCCACAGGAATCAGTAATCACCTTGTGCCTTAGGAGGACTCTTATGATCAGTATGAACCAGACTGAAGTTAAGGACAACTTCCTGATAATGTTTTCTGCATCCCAAATTTGCTCATAGTGAGAGTAGAGGCTGAGGTCTGTACCCACCTGCAGCCTGGTGGACAACAAGGAAGCTGGGAGTGCAGATTACCCTCTGCCCCCGCCTGTCTAGCACAGGCTCACTTCATGTGTGTATCACGTGGCTTTTGTTTCTATAAATTGTAAGAGCTTCTGTGGGACCAGCAGGGGAAGCATTCTAATGGTTTCTCCTCATTTTCACTAAACTGTATAAAGTTCATTTTTGTATCCTTTGCCTATTTCTTATGGTGGAATCCAATTCACTGGGATCCAGACAGGGTCCTTGGGGTAGGCTTCGAATAGTAATAAAATATTAGAGAATATTTTAGATAAAGAAATGCCACTGCTGACCTGATTCATGTATTCCCCACCCAAAGGCATCCCGATTCCTCCTCTTGCCTGTGTTTCTGTCACATCTCTCATGGGTTTGTTGTAGAAAACAATGAACCCAGTGACACATTTGAACCACAACAGCCATTAATTTTTCTCAGTCTTTGTGCTAATTCCCTCAATACTATAAAAGCAATGCCTGATCCTTGCCCTTTTCCCTAAAGGTGTGCTATGTAGACATTTGACTTTTCTCATTTTAACAGCTGTTATAGAGAAATAAAAGGTTTTATAGGTTAAGAAACTTCATCCCTTCTCTTTCAATTTGCCTTTTCACACAACTTCACTTTCACAGAAATTGAGGTGGTAGTCATCAGCCAGAGGGCCAGAGGCCATCTGATCACTAAGAGGTTCAACTTTCAGCCCATGAACAAACCCTCACCCAACAGTATCCATATGAAGTCTCAGCAAAACACTCCATGCCAGAACCAAGACCTGACATCACTTATAACCTCCAAACTGGGGTGCATTAGGAAGTGTGTTTTACTCCTTAGAAAGAGTGTCCACTTTCTAAGGAGTAAAAAAAAAAGTTTGTGTGGGTAGCCGTAATTTTTGCAAATATTAGTTGAGCTTTGCAACATGTCCCCTTGTTCCAGTGCCCTCACACACTGTCACAGTTCTGATACCTATTCATACACCTAGCTTCCCATGTTACTGATTGTGGAAACCTCATCAGAAACTGTAACTTTCCTAAAACCTTCTGTATGAAGGGCAAAGCAATAATTTGAATTATTCTGACTTAAAGTCCAGTGTTGTTTTTGTTTAAAAAAAAAAAAAAACACTTTATGACCCTCCAAAGCAGTATTGACAGACAGTTGTACCAGTTGCTTACTGCACAAGGGCAGTCTGGGGCAGGAGGCTGCAAATGTCAGAGTGCCATCTGTGCCCTGCTCACCACAGCCTTTTTAAAATTTCTGTAAGGTACTGTGTAGGCTCTTCCAAGTACATAGCATATTCCACTACAGAAAAATAAGGAAGGTAATTTCCAGGGATTCTAATCGCAGCTGATCTTTGCTTTAGATGCTGAATGAAATGTCTTGTGGGTGCAGAAGAGCTCACTGTGCTGGTGGCTTCTCTTGCTTTCGTGGTTAATGTGTTGAGTGGTTTTGCTTGTAAGCAAGGCTAGGCATCCTGACACAGAATCATCCTCAAGTGTTAAGGGAACCAGGTGCAGGTGGCACCACAGCACATTTTTCTCTTTCCCTTCCCCTAGTCCTTGATCCTCTGTTCCTCCTCCCTGGCTGATGCCATAGGCCTGTAGTGTGGATGTGGAACAAGGTGGAGAATACCTGTAGGCTTTGCTCCCTACATTCAGAGGTCACGACCAGGAAAACTGGCCACACACATCTTGACCCATGACCTCCCAGTGTAAACCCTTTCTCTATAATCCACAGCACAATGTCACATCAATTCTTGCCTTGCTAATAGAGTCTGACTCTATATCAGGGAAGAGTGAAATTCATACACTGTGTTGTAGTTACCTCCTTTATCAAGAGGACTCCATGGAGAGTCGACAACTGTCCTGTTCCTAAAATATCAATACATCCCATCTTCCCTTTAGCCACCATCTGGCTTTCTTGTTTCCTGGTCCTCCATATGTTGATGTTTATTCCACAGGACCCCAACCAGAAAGCGGCCTCATTGTAGCTCACATGGGAGTTGTTCTCAGGGATATTTACAAGGCCTTGTCATAAGCTCACAGTAGCCACTACTGAGTCTTACCCTGCTCCCATCTTTTCTGAGGGAACCTCTTATAGTGATATTGTTAATCTCAGTGGGTGATCTCTACACCGCCAGAAGAAACAATGTTCAATTTAAACAAGGTTTTTGACATTTTTAAAATTTTTTTATGTGATGCTGAGGATTGAACCCAGTGTGCCTGACATGTGTGAGGCAAGCGCTCTACCACTGAACCACAACCCCAGCCCTGGTTTTTGACATTTTTAGTTACTGGTTTGCTACCCCATGAAAAGGGAGTTGAAATACATGTTCCCTGTTGAGTCTGTAATGGGTCTGCTCCTTCATGATTTCTAGTAAGAGAATTGTACTGTGCATATGAGCTGTTGGCAAGCATCAAACAATTGATTTTCCCTAGTCCTATTTTCCCTGATGTTGTAGCCTTCTACTTTCCTCTTCAGATTAAAAGTGTCCATTAATACCTCATTTCTTTTTCTGAACTCAAGGGCACTTGACCACTAAACCACATCCCCAGCCCTATTTTTAACCTTGCTCTATACGCAAGAAAGCATATCAGACACAGAATGAAAAAACTGACACCAAGACCTGTGTGAGCTGTATTAAATGGTGGCCAAGGATATTAATATAAGTGAAACAGTGGAAGGTCAAAATTTTGTGAATCATCAGTGTGATAGAAAATAGTCTGAAATTACTTGCTGTTCAGATTTCTTTTCCATCAGTTTAGATTTGATTATTTTTTTCAAATGGCTTCTTTTGGATGAAAATCTCTCCCCTAATGAGCCTAACTGTAATGACTGCTGCATGTATGAGTGTGTATGGTGGCATCTGTGTGATTCACCCTATTTCTACTGTGATGTAAATCTTTATTTTTTAAAAAGCCCACTCAAAAACATTCAAAATAATAGTGTCACTTAAAGATTTATATCAAATGGTGGCCTTCATACTGCAGGCAGCATCTGTTTGCTTTGAGTATTTGTAACCTTTTGGTCACACTGGATACCCAGCCCTGGGGTGGTGTGTGCTGAATGCTGACCAAAGTAGGAGATTTTTCTTTTCTGATGAATTCAAACTCATTTTTTTAAACACTAAGAACAGCTTTTATTGGTTGCAACAGTGAATGGGAGAGCACATGATGGCTCTTGCTCCTGAGGTATCATTCACAAACAAGATAGTTTCCAAAAGCAAATTTAAACTCTTAAGGAACAACAACAACAAAAAAAATGTTTCTGGTTAAGAAGAAACTGTGTATTAGTCCCTCTGTGCTCTTGTCCATAAGCTTCCCCCAAGTAATCACATTGTTTTGTTTGTTCATTTTTTTTTTTTTGTTGTTGTTGTTGTTTTTTTCCAGGTTGTGGGGATTGAAGCCAGGGGTGCTGTACCACTGAGCTGCAATCCCAGTCCTATTCATTTATTTTGAGACAGGGTCTCACTAAGTTGCATAGGCTGATCTTGAACTTCTGATCCTCCTGTTTCACCCTCCAGAAGAGCTGGGATTCCAGGTGTGCACCACCACATCCAGACCAAAGCATTACATTTGTAGACACAGAACTTTTCTGTTGAAGGTGACACAAGTGATGTGGGCCCAACACACATCGCCACACTTCCAGACTGAATCCTAGACCGTGGCTTCCAGGTGTGAAAGGCCCATTCTGAACCACTGCTAACTTGAAGCTTTTCCTTCCATAAAGGAAAGGTTATACCTGAGTGAGTTGGAGTTACCTGTATTTATTTGGACCCTGTCTCTCAGAAGGGGAAGCACTTTACCTGCATAACTGATAAATCTAACAGTGTTTGATTTTATGCCTAGAGGCCTGTTCTGTCCTGAGGCAGATTCCATGCTTGGATGGACTCTGTGGGGGTTGGGGCTGAAAACAATTATGATAAGGCTATTAATAGGACATCTGGCATTCCGTGAGCTTCCATATATTATCAAAGCCTTGACTTCTTGGAAAAAGGAAAAATATATTTAGCTATTTGATTTTGGACACAGTGGTTTACATGGGCCCTCATATTGCCATGACACCTTTTAAATAATTCTCTTGACTCAAACACAAGGAAATCGGGCTGGGGTTGTGGCTCAGTAGTAGAGCGCTTGCCTATCATGTGTCAGGCACTGAGTTCAAATTGCCACACTACATAAAAAAAATAAAGATATTGTGTCCATCTACAGATAAAAATATTAAAAACAAAAACAAAACAAGCAAACAAAACACAAATCCACAAGGAAATCAAACCAAACATCTGTGTTGAGGCCAGAGTTTGCCATGGTCTGGGAACAGCACCTTGGACCAGAACCTCTGAGCCATTTGGCCAGGATTTCACACAGATTATATTTATTACTCTCTTGGAAACATAATGTCCCCTGCTTTTAGCAGAAATTTTAATATGTATGGGGTATGTGCAGTTCTCCTCCTTAATAAACAGGAATTAAAAAAAATAAAAAATCACCGAGTTTGTTTTCCCTTCTGCCTTACAGCTTACTTTTCAATGTAATTTTCAAATGGGAACCTGTAAGCTGTTGAGATAAAGGCACAAGGTACACATGTAGGAGATGGCAGATGAGACCCACTCAAATGTGGGCAAGTTGACGTTTTCGTCCAAAATACATCAATGTAGAAATTACTAAATGGGTCACCAGCTGAAAATATCCTGAAATCAGGGAGAAAGAGCTCTTCTCCGGGCCTCTCTTTTCTAAGATGTCTATTTACGTGGCCATGGCTCCTCTCTGGAGGCAGCTACACTGCTGTCACAACGTCAAATTTAGCCTGGTGTGCTTCTGCAGTCATCTATTCAGTCCATCTCCTAAGCAAGAAAAGAACACCAGTCAGAATAGCCAGTTTAATTCACAACCAGGATTTTGTACTTAAGACACTTACTAGTGTCTTAACAGGAGGGAAGCTGGGGTACAGAGCCTCCAGATCCTGTTAATCCTATATCCCTGCACCCTAACTTTTGTTACACAAGGGCAAGTACAAAACCACAGGCTTTCCAAAGGCTCAGAGGTAAATTCAAGCCTCTCCATAATCACTTCAGTTGTTAAGATATGTTAGGAGGTCAGAGGGATCACTGTTCCCTTTAAGCTGTATCTATTTGGTACCCATCAGTACAAATGTTGACATTTGCCTCTTATTCCTCAAAATGGTTGTTGGTTGGGGGGAGACCTGTTCAGAGGCTTTCTCTGGCTTCTTTCTTTTCAAGAGTTCAGCATGTTTTACCCCCTATTTTGTAGATGCCTTTATAACTGAAGACCATAGCACGCAGCATATTGATAGGCATTTAAGGCCTATCAATAACTATTCACAGGGTTAGATGCTATTTTATTTAAAAAGTAAGCCTGAATAATGCTCTGACATATTGAAAAAATTCAGACACTGATGTTTTAAAATTTGAAATAAGATACATCCACCTATCTTCCACTGGGGTTTATGAAACTGAAGCATCAGTTTTCAAGGATGTCTTGCTTACCCTTCTTAGGCAGTGTCATGAAGACTGACTTTAATGTCTTGGTTACGTGACAGATATGCTCTCTGTGTTTAGGAAAATGCACATCATCTCTGCCCCCCGACCCTTTTTGACTATTCCTTTTGGTTTCTCTTCCTATTCTCCTCTGCAAGCATGTATTCTGAGAATCTGCACTTATGTTTGTGACAAGGTGAAGCAGAGGGCAGACTGAGGAAGCTCAGCCTAGGTCCCTCTGGCCACTTTCTTTTATGCCCACCATGCTGCTATTATTCTATCCATGGTGTGAGGAAGGCTTCAAGTCCCTCCTGACAGCAACATGTCTTGTCACTGCTTTCCTTGCGCTTTCATCATCGGGGAGATCAGAGTGAGGAGGGCTGAGAGAGGCCCCATAGCAGAGGGCTCTGCTGGGTTCTAGGGTTCTTTGAGGAAAAAGGTATGGGCAGCAGGCAGAGACCAGGGGACTCCAGGAAATGGAAAGGAGCTGGCATCAGTGATTCTTACATTTCTGACTAAGTCCCGCACGTAGGCAAATAGGTTCTGGTTAATAAAGTTGACTGTTGCATGAAACACATCATGGAGTAAGGATGGTGTATGATTGGCCACCTTTTTGGCCAATAGCATGGTCATAATCAGCATGGTCTTCTCATTCTCCATATCTTTAGGGTAAGTCTGCATTGCTGCCTTCAGGGTGGTGTCCAGGCAGTTGCTTCTGTCCTATACAGAGATAAAGACAGTTTACTAATAGTCTTTCCTCTTGCAGTCCCTGGTGGTAAGTACAAAGGGGCATCTCAGAAGGAAGTATTGATGGAATAGCTAAGGCTACAGGACAGAGAGAAGGATAGACAATTTAGTTTTGAGGCAGTGAAAAGGGAATAGGAGACTACTTCCTGCAGGGAATGCTCATTAACCTAATACACATTTACTGAACACTGTATGTTATTTAATGGAACACAAGGATCTGAAGCCATTCCCTTTCCTAACCTCAAAAGACTGATAACTATCTCCAGCAACTTAGGCCCATCTTACTACTGTGCACCCTAGCTTAAGGGGACACGCAGAACCTTCTCACCAAAGGTGAGAGGCAAATACTAGACCACTGGACTTGAGTGACCTTAGGCTCAATGACTTACATGCACAATTACCCTTGTGGGAGGTGTCCCAAGGCAGTGCATAGCCAGATGCTTCTGTATTCTTTGACAGATGCTGGAGAATAGCAAATGGGGAGAGAATGCCAGACTGAAGACCAGCTGTCATGGAAGGGGGCACCCAACAAGGTAGTGAGGTTTTCAGCCTTCTCAGTTGGTAGAAGTCAAAAGAATTAAACTTTCTCTCCTCTCACCTCCTACAGCTACAAGTATTTATTTGAAGGCTTTAGGATGTGGCCTACACCAATCTTTGGATGCCCCAGAGGTCCATGTGAGCAGCAATATCTGTGTAACTAAACACAACCATGAAGCTGGGAAGAGGAGAAGGCTAAACTATCACTGTTTTTGTTATACCTGGGAAAGTAACTGAAAATCCTGTGTTGGCATCTTTACTCTCCAAAACAGAAAAAAAAAGTTATTTTGGTAAGAGTCAGATATATTTTGCTGGGGCTGGGGATATAGCTCTATTGGTAGAGTGCTTGTCTCTCATGAACAAGGCCCTGGGTTTTATCCCCAGCACCACAATAAAAAAAAAAAAGATATACTTTGTTCATCTTTCTTGAGTCTTCTATCCCTCTCACTTATAAAGGTTCAGGTTTTCTAAATCTCCACTAAATTCTCCTGAAAGACAATCATGCTCTAACTCCATTCCCAATTCTCTTGTCAAAGCTCCAGATAGACAGTCATGGAGCTATCTCAGGGGACACTGGTCTTCTGAGACAGAACAGGCCCTGGCTCCAGTGACACTCATAAAAGCCCATCTTACTCAGAAGTAGCAATAGTGTATTCCCTCACTTACTTCCTCTGACAGTCCAGCATTCATAAAACGTGCCACCAGTTCATTCACCAGTTCTGGCTGGATGCTACGGTCCATTTCATCCCCGACCTGGGCAAGATGCCGGGCAATGTTCTGTATAACTTCTTCTTGACTTTCAGAATCTGAAAGGCAGAGGGCAATAAGGACAAAGACGATTCAGACAATGGCCCCATTAGATACTCTCATCCCCCTCCACCCCACCCGACACAGGAAAGGAGTCTGCTTTGGAAGGACAGCTCCTGCCTCCACAGCATGCGCTCATAGTCCTCACTGATATTGGCTCCACTCAGCTTGAGCCCCTGTGTGACTTCTGGACTGGCTGTGGCTGTGGGACCAGGGTAAGGCCTGAGTGAACAGCAGACCAGCTCCAGAAGCAGGCCTCTCCCTGAACGCAGACTCAAGAACTGTCCCCAAAGAGGGTCAGTCATGCTCTAGCAGCCTTCACCATGGGCCTCAAAGAAGAACCTGGCAGCAATCTTCAGGGCTATCACCTGTTAAGTGTTGATGTATAACACTTAACAGGTGTCAATCTTAGAAGCTTTTAGGAAGGAAGATTTACAGACAGACCAGGTTTGAGTCCCACCACCACCACCACCACTTCCTGGCCATGAGAATTTGAAGCATATGTCCTCTTTCCTTACAGGGAAGAGGTGTAGCTGACTCCCCTCCCCAATCTTACCTCATTAAGTAAAACCCCAGGTTTTCTCTATCACTTACCAGGCCCTATATGATCTGCCCCACTTGGCCAACTAAGATTCTGGTACCTGACTTTAGTCCCTCCACAGTATTCCTGGCCTCCACACATGCTGCCCCTTCTGCCTAAACGCCACTCCCCAACAGAACACAGCTCCTTCTTCACCTCCTTTATTCTGTCCCAGTCTTCTCCTCTTTCTTTTTCTTCCTTGACACGTTACACATTACCCTAATCATAATTCTATGATTTGTTTGACACCCCTCAACCAGAATATAAACTCCCTAAAAGCTGTAATTTTTTTTTTTTTTGCAGGGGGAGGGGTCTAGTACTGAGGATTGAACCCAGGGCCTCATATATACTAGGCAAGCAATACACTATATTCCCAGCCACTTTTAAATTTTATTTTGAGACAGGGTCTCACTAACTTGCCCAAGCTAGCCTCAAATTTACTATCCTCCTGCCTTAGCCTTGTGAGTTGCTGAAATTATAGGCATGTGATACCATGCCCAGCAAACCTATAATTCTGAAAATCAGTTTGGTTTACTGTTAAATATTCAGCACTTAAACTGACATAGGCACACAGCAGGTGCTCAATACACAACTGTCTGGAAGCTGGGCATTATGGCACATGCCTATAATCCCAACAACTCAAGAGGCTGAGGCAGGAGGATCACAAGTTGGAGGGCAATCTCAGCAATTTAGCGAGGTCCTAAGCCCTGTTTCAAAATAAAAAGTAAAAAGGGGCTGAGGATGCAGCTCTGTGGTAAAGCACCCCTAGGTTTAATTCCTGCAAACATAACAAAAACCAACTACATGGGGCTGGGGGTGTGGCTCAGTGGTAGAATGTATGCTTAGCTTCAATCCCCAGCACAGCAAAATAAATCAAAGCAAATAAACCAAAAACCAAATAAGTGCATAAATGAATGAACAGATCCTGTATCTAGCTTCTGATATCAATAAATGACAACTATTGTTATCTCTCTCATTAAGTCCTGTATTTCTCCTGTATTTGCAACTCTCCCCTGGCTCCTATTTATCCAGGATGGAAAACTGGCTTACCTGAGGTCTCTGCTATTCCCACTGCACCCTTTCTCAGTGTGTTGTCAGGTTTGATCTTAGAACTCCTATCTGCTGCTGCCACCCTTATCAGGGTTTTCTCTGAGCTCTCATCTTGATAACATTGTCCTTCAGTATATTTTCCTCAGAAATAGGAGGGCAAAGCAAGCACTTGGGTAGGACTGAAGGAAGCAGTAAGAAGTCTAATGTGCTTACCAACCTCAGAGGTGAGAGCCTTCTTAACTTCTGTGCTCTAGGGATTTCATCTGCCCCTCCTTCAGTCTTCTTTCTTTCTCTTTCCTATTAGGCCTCTAAGGATGGAATCCAGGGCCATACACACACCAGGCAAGTGTTCCGGTCCACCACTGAGTCGCACCCTTAGCCCCTCACCACAGCAAGATACAACACTGCTTCTCTACTCGGGACCTTCCCAATGCTCACTTCTACTTAAGTGGTTAAGTCATCTTCTAGCTTCCAATTCCCTTTAATTCTTTCTACTCTTGTAATGTTCTAACCAAACCCAAATACTTTCTGTGTTTCATAGCCTTTGGACTTTCCCATCTTCAGGCTTTTGCTTAATCAATGGCTATTTCCTCTTCCCTATTTCCAAAGAATTACATTGTGCCATCTTTCTAGACCTAGCTCAACCTCACTTGCAGTCATGAATTCCTTCCTGATTCCCTTCAGAGCAAAGGGTTCTCACTTCTCCTTATAGTTCTCTCAGAAATGATGTGTGCCTCACTTACTTGCCAAAGCCTTTCCACCTTATTTTTGTGAATCATGTACACATCTCTCTTCCCTCTATCCACCAGATCAGCAACATCAGAAATTATATCTGATTTTGTTTCGAGGTTTTCAGAGTCTCTATTTTGTTCCTTGCCTCCAAAACTTGTCGTACTTAATTCACAGGCCAATGTTCTCTCAGAGCACTAGTAAGGTCAGTATACAGCCCCATTAATCTACTTTTCAAATGCCATTTGGGTCAAGTCAGGATTTGCGGTCTAATGGTAAGGGACAGTGTAGAGAGCAGCAAGAGAAAAGAGCAGGAGACAGACTCTGGTTGTGTTACTGCTGTATCACCTTCTGATAGTGAAGCCATTCGGGCCCATGCCTGTCCTCAGTCCTTCCTACAACTTTCCAAGAGACCAAATGCTTTTATTCAGTTTAGGACCATCAGAAGACATACTGGTTGGGTTCAAAGAAAGTTTCTGGCATACCCTGACTAGTGTGAAACACTGGCCACATTTCCTTTCACCAGATTTGAGATTGGGCAAAAGGCAGAATCAGTTGTTGGTCTCCCCCAGAGCCACCAGAGGGCTCTGGAGTCTCGGTGTCAGGAAATTTCAGAGTAGACAACCAGGTTGTGCAGGACAAGTTGGAAGGTCTGGGTCACTGTGGAATTTCAGGGCAGGGATTTTCTTTTTTCTTTTGCAGTGCTAGTGGTGGAACCCAGGGCCTTGAGCAACAGGGCAAATGCTCCACCCCTGAGCTACACCTTCAGTCCCAGGGCAGTGATTCTAATCAAGGTCAGAATCACCTGGAAGTCTTCCACTCTAACAGCTGACCTGGGTCGGTGGAGTAGACTCAAGGCCTGCACATTTTGAAAAAGTTCCTCATGTAAAGTCTGTGTGCACACTACTGAGAACCAACGTCCTGAGCTCCTCGGCTTGCTCTTTCTCCAGAAGCAGCACTAGTGGCTCAGTGGTAGAGCGCTTGTCTAGTGGCACTGGGTTTAATTTTCAGCACCGCATATAAATAAATGAATAAAACTGAGGTCCATCAACATCTAAAAATATATACTAAAAAGGATAGAGGCAAGGAAGAGAGCACAGGGATTAAAGTTCAGAATGATAAAATCTGGAAACAGATAACAGGAGGCAGCACTGATATGATGGGAGGCAACCCAAGAAGCTCAAGAGGGGTCTGGCTCAAGTCCTGCCTTGGACTTGCCCATCAGTTTGACTGGATCTAGTCATTTATATGTCCCTGGGCCTGAGTTTCCTCATCTGGAAATGAGGTTCATAATACTTCAATTATTCCCTTCCCTCCCTTTGTGCCAGGGATCCAACCCAGGGCCTCATGTATGCCAGACAACCACTTGAGTTATACCCCTAGCTCAGTTTTCTTATATCTAAAAAAGGGAAAATGTGAAGTTCTATATGGGACACAAAAATTCCTTTAAATACATGGATTGGGACCTGCTCAAGGTGGTGTGGAGCTGTGTAAGAATCACCTGTGGGGCTTTTGCTCACACCAGTGATGCCCCAGAACTATCAAATCAGATTGCCTAAAGATGGGACCCCAGCACCACTGTTTTAAAGCTTTCTGGTTCTTGAAACTACATAAACCCAAACTGGGGAGTCATTCAGGTTATTTAATACAGCTCAGTGGTTTCCAGAATTACTTGGGAAAAGCTCAGTGGTTTCCAGAATTACTTGGGAAAACACTTTTCATATTGGTGGATGAACATAGGAAGGTAGATGCTGGACCTAAAATAAGTTCAGCACCACTAGAGGCAATCAAGCACAGATCAAACCATATAATATGAACATATACAGTAGCCTAAAACTCCATGGGTCAAGACTGAGCCCAAATGTCCCTTCTAGCCCATGGATATCCTCAGATGTTACTAGTAACAACAACGCCCAGGATTGGCACAAAGGAGATGGGGCCAGGTGCCTACCTGCCTCTATTCTTCCCACGAAGAGACTGGCATGGTTGCCGTCAGTCTGCAGCTCATCTTCACGTTCCCCCTCCAGGTAAGTTCGCACAGGTAGTTCCTGGCCCAGAGTTCTCAGCTCTTGGTGAAACTTACAGTCAGAGAAGCTTTGGAGGAAGTCAAGCACCAGCAAGTTTGTGATGTACTCATCCCTGAGGCCTGAACCATTGCTGACCTAAGATAAAAGAGGAATTAGGAAGGCTCTTGGGAACCCAGGCCAGGGTCAGAAGCCCTCCCTGTAACTGAGCAGATAGTTCTATGGGGTACAGATGGTCTTGAAAGAACCTTACTGGCCTAAGAGGTGAATCTCATGTAGATTCAAGATCCCTGCAGCAATGCCTCCTGTAGATGCCAAAGAGAGAGCTTTAAGTGATTCATCCACCATTTGTTTTACCTGAAATCTGTGGCTGGGGTGAGTTTCTTATGCTACAGTCTGATTCAGGGAATTCAGGGAAATATCATTTAGATGCCATCCATGTATTTACATTATTTTTTTAAAAGTACCAGGGATACTTCACCAAATAAAATCCAGCTTTCCTGGCTATTCTTCCAGAAGTTAGCAGCTCTTTCTTTTCCATAATCTCTTTTGTAGGCCTAGGATGATATTGGGCCAACAGAAGACTCTCAATACATACTGGGGGTGGTAACCACAGATAAACAACTGCCTTTGGCCTAGCTTGGTCTACTTCTAGAGGCTTAATTAATGAAAACCCTACAGAGTGCTCTGACCAGGAGGGGCTGGAGCACACAGTCCCCACTCACTGTCCATCTCTACTGGTAACACTTAAGCCGCATGCAGCTCCTGCAAATGCCTGCACTGTGGGAGCCAGGAGGGGCCTTTCTAGCATGCTGACTGCATGTGAGGATGGTTTTTGAAAATAAAGGTGAGTACCTATAGCATCAGTGCCCAGAGCAACCACAGCTCTAAAATAAAGAGGGAATAAGTAGTCTGGAAGGCTTGGGATTCCAAGACCTGTCCAAATGTATGCCAAATATTCACAGGGGCTGTAAGAGCAAAGGAAGATAAAAGTGCTGGTGAAAAGATATTGTAATCCTCTAAGTCCTTATTAATTTGCATCAGAAAAACAAAACAACTTTTTATTTATTTATTTATGTGGTGCTGAGGATCGACCCTAGCGACCCTAGCAACTTGCATGTGCTAGGCGACCGCTCTACCATTAAGCCACAACCCCAGACCCACAAAAAAACATTTATTAGAAAAGTAAAAAAAAACTCCCAGGACAGCTTTTTTTTTTTTTTTTTTTTTTGTGGTGCTGGGGATTGAACCTAGGGCCTTGTGCATGTGAGGTAAGCTCTCTACCAATTGAGCTATATCCCCAGCCCTGAGAAAAGTTTTTTATTTTTTTAAATTTTTATTTATTTATTTTTTTTTAAAGAGAGATAATTTTTAAATATTTATTTATTTATTTATTTTTAGTTTTCGGCGGACACAACATCTTTGTTTGTATGTGGTGCTGAGGATCGAACCCGGGCCGCACGCTTGCCAGGCGAGCGCGCTACCGCTTGAGCCACATCCCCAGCCCGAGAAAAGTTTTTTAATAGGACAAAATTCCTTTAAATAAATAAAACTGCTGGTACAGCACGTACTTAGCATGCATGAGGCGCTGGGTTCAATCCTCAACACCACCAAAAAAAAAAAAAAAAAAAAAAAAAGGTTAAATAAAATATGGTACTTGAAGGGCTGGGGTTGTGGCTCAGTAGCAGAGCACTTTCCTAGCATATGTGAGGCACTGGGTTTGAGTCTCAGCACCACATATAAATAAATCAAAAATAAGGTACATCAACAACTAAAAAAATATTTTTAAAAATATGATACTTGTGTATTATTGCTCTTTGGCTGTTACTTCTTCAGAATTACTTTCAAATAAAAGCAAAACTTTATGTAAAAGTTCTACTGAATCTTATTCTTACAATACCTGTACTATGAAGCCAAGAGGGTACAAAACAGCTTAGAAACTCAAAAACCATGGCCATTTCTGTCACAAGGAGATGTCCTGGTTAGAAGAGAAGAAAGGAACCCGGGGGCAGTATCATGGGTTAAGTGTGTCTCCACTAAAAAAATGTTCAAGTCCTAACCCCAAGTACCCATAAATAGGATCTTATCTGGACATAATCAAGTTAAGAAACTTCATAAGAGTGAGCCCTAAGTCCAATGACTAGTGCCTTGTAGGAGTAAAATATATACACTACAACATGCAGGGAAATGCCACCTGAAGATAGAGGCCAGAACTGAAGTGATGCATGTCCAAGCTAAGAAACATCAAGGATCACTGGTAATTCCAGAAGCTGGGCAGAATCTCCCTCAGAAAGAGGGAGCAACCCCGATGATAACCTGATTTCAGGCTGCTGGTCACTAGAATTGTAAGGGAATAAACTCCTGGGTTTTTGTGTTTGTTTTTGGTGGTACTGGGGACTGAACCCAGACACTGAGCTACATCCTATCCCTTTATGTTTTATTATTATTATTTTTTTGGGTACTGGGAATTGAACTCAGGGGCACTCAATCACTGAGCCACATTCCCATACCTATTTTGTATTTTATTTGGAGAAAGGGTCTCACTGAGTTGCTTGGGGCCTTGCTAAATTGCTGAGGCTGGCTTTGAACTCGAGATCCTCCTGTCTCAGCCTCCCAAGCCTCTGGGATTATAGGCGTCAGCCACTACGCCCAGCCCTAGCCCTTTTTATTTTTTGACATAGGGCCTTGCTAAGTGGCGGAAGCTGGCCTGGAACTGATGATCCTCTTGCCTCAACTCCCGGAGTTACTGGAATTATAGGTGTGTGTCACCATGCCCAGCTTAAAACTCTTGTCCTTAAAAGCCACCCAGTTTGTTTCAGCAGCCCAAGGAAATTAATAAAGGTGGTCTTTGCCCAAGGGCCACCTTTTGATCCAGAGTTGGTAAACAAGAATCTGAAGCCTGAATGTGGAGGCACAGCAGCTGCCAGCCATGCTAGATCAGGTTATCCAATACATTCTGTAATCTTTATTACATAAAATAGAGATGGCTGGCAAAGGAAAGGGAAGTATTTCATGTTAGAGAATGAGGGATCTGGAAATGTTTAGTTGCAGTGAGCTGAAAAGCCAAGAGGACAGGCAAGTGCCATGAAAAAGGAAGTGGTTTGGGAAACAGAATTTATTTCATTCCATGAACAAACAGAGCTTGTGACATGCCAAGTATGGAACTATACTTCTTTTAAATCTTCCAGTAATAAAAGTTGAAGAAGGAATTTAATATTTATCTTTTTAGATCATAGGAAAAAATATATTGAGAGAAATGAGGAACACTTAGGAAATTCTGCTATATATTTTACATAACTGATGCAAATGAAGTAAAAATAATTCTTATGATATAGAATCAGTTCTGATGCAGAGAAGAAGACAAAAACCTCCAATGCATTTGATAAATTAGAATAAATCTGGTGTTCAAACCTGGCAAAAAAGAACACTAAATAAGAGTAACAAAAAGTGAAACCAGTCTCATTTGTTTTTACAAACATATATATCTCAAGCCAGATATGGTGGTGCATGCCTGAAGTCCCAGCTACTCAGAAGCCTGAGGCAGGAAGATCGCCTGCCTCAGCAACTTAGACTCTGTCTCAAAATAAAAGATTAAAAGAGAGATGTAGCTCAGTGGTAGAATACTTGCCTAGAATGAGTGAGGGCCTGAGTTTGATTTCTAGTACTTCAAATAAATTCAAAGAAGAATGCTGAGTGAAATAAGCCAGTCACAAAAAGATGCAAGGCACTAAGCAATTCAGTGAGACCCGTCTCTAAATAAAAATACAAAATAGGGTTGGAGATGTGGCTCAGTGGTCGAGTGCCCTAAGTTCGATCCCCATTGCCAAAAAAAAAAAAAAAAAAAAGTGAAAATGGCAAATTTTATATTATGGGATCTTACCATATTTTTTAAAATTCCGGAGTGGGGGAAAATATCTGAGAAAGTCAAAGTATCTACAATAGGATGAAAGTTCTGATAGGGACAGAAAGACCAAACCCCAAAATGTAAGAGAAAATTTTTGCTCAGTGGTTCAGTGAGAACCCCAACTCTGTAAAACACCGGGTATCCTTCAGTGTCTCAGCTTTTTCACCCTGAAGGTAAAGAAAAAAACAACAGTAGGAGTAATGACATTCACCCTTCCTATCCTGAAAGGGTGTCAGGGAAAGTGGGACCTTATGAGAGGAAAGGTTGTCTAGGGTGCTATGCAAGAAGGAAGTGGCAGTTGTGTTTTAACCTGAAGACATCTCAAGAATATGGGAGAGAAGGGCAACACTTATTGGCGTCCTTTCTTGTCCCTGCCAGAGTTCTGTTTCTATTCTTTATACCTGGATAAATTCTACTCCTTGCACTCTGGGGAAGAAAAAAAAAAAAAAAAAGAATATGGGAGAGGAAGTAAATGTGGTGGACTGGAAGACACAATAGGCAAGTTCACCTGGCACCAACATAGAATACTATCCACACTGATAACTGGTCCTTATGGGGACGAGTGGGAGCTCTGAAATCTCTTCTGTTCATGCAACTAACATCTCTCCAGAGCCCAGTAGGTAGTGGGCTCTCCAGTTATCAACCTGAAAAATCCCACAATTCCCATTCTTCTGAAAGGATATTCAACAAGTACATACTGAGACCTGCTATAGTTTTGATTTAGAATGCCCCCCAAAAGTTCTGTGTTGTCCTTGTGTTGAAGGCTTAGTTCCCAATGCAGCAGTATTTAAAGGTGGGGCCTGTGGGAGGTGGTTGGATCCTGGTGGCTCTGAGCTCATCAGTGGATTAATCCATTAATGGATTCATAACTTAATGTACTTTTTTGAGAGGTAGTAGAAACTTTAGAAGGTAGGGCCTAGTCTGGGGAAGCAGCCACTCAAAGATGTATATTTGAAGGGTATATCCTGTCTCTGCTCCCGTCTCTCTCTCTTTCCCAGCTGCAAAGATTTGCTGTATCACACTCTCTCTGCCATGATGTTCTACCTCATCACAAACCCAGAAACAACAGTGCCAAGTTACTACGGAATCAAACTTTGAAACCATGAGTCAAAATAAATCTTACTTTTAAGTTGAATTTTTCAGATATTTTGTAATAGTGACAGAAAGCCAACTAACACAAGACTTTTCAGGCACCATGGGTACTATCCATAGGCTCAGGGGTGTTGAAATGGTAATTCTGTTGTAGATTTGTGGTTCCTCTTTGCAGAGCTGTCAGATAGGAACTGGGAACTGGGGTCAGGCTAGATCAGCACCCACAGGCAAGTGCATGAAGAACAAGCCTACACTCAATCCTCTAACATCCCCTTTCCAAGAATTCCTCCAAAAGAATTCAGGAGTCTGACCTCAGAGTCCATGGCACAGGCAGCACCTGGTAGCTCCAACTCAGTTTTGGTTCACGTAGGTCCAAGATCACCACCTAGAAAAGGACACACATAGAGGGTGGGTGGCTGTATCCTGAAGGGATGCCCCACAGGGGAGAATGGAGAAGACGGGCCTCAGCTCTGGCTCAGGAACTTTGGCCACTGCAACCAAGCAGCTGAGGTCACTGTTGCCAGCAGATGGTATTCAGTCGGGTTCCTTTCTTTCCCCTTGGCACAGAATTGTGGGCCACAACCTAGTGAGCAAACTGAAGTTTTCCTGGATCTTCCCTGAGACTTGCCAGACCCCTTAGAACTCCCCAGGGCCAGTCCTCCATCCAAGAGTTAACTCTCCTATTCCATTCTCAGGAAGACCTCATGGATCAGGCCAATGGGCTGATCGGGCTTACAAACTATTTTAAAGTAAATATTTACATTAGTAAGTTTCCTACAAGAATATACTCAGTAAATAAAGTATATCTGCCGCAGTCTGTCTGGGCACAAATAACCGAGCCGCCACAAAGCCTTGTAGGTTCAAACAGTAACTCTTTATTCCCGAACTCTCACTGGCACTCTACACACACTTCCCGGGAATACACTCCCTCCACCGGGCTCTGCCAATTCTCCCAGACACCCCCCCCCCAACTCCATGGGAACTCCAAAGTAGCAGGCGCCCGAGGCAGCAAGAGCCGCCCTATTACTGGTATAAAGGTCTAATATACAATTGAATCAATCCAGCATCATCTTAATGGCTCGCCTCTCAACCATTACTTCTGGCAAAATGCCAGGGGCCATTCCGACTGTGGCTCTCAACATATATCTAAAAAATTTCAGGAAATCTATCTCCTCAAAATGACAACTATCACAGCAATTCCTTCCAATAACAACAAAGATACCAACCCATTTCTTTGACAAGTTTTATGATCTTGCATTCCACACAATGTTGCTGTGCAGGCAGCATTGATCCTGACTTAAAAGGGAGAAAATTTAGTTTTAGGAAGAATTTTCTTGAGGCCACAGAACTAGTAAGTGACAGGAGGGGGCAAATAAGTTCCTTCAATCAGGTCATATGGCTTCAATTGTTCATATTATGAAGAAAAGATTTCCAATAAAAATGATGAAAAAAGAGACTGCATTTGACATACAAAAGATTAAGTCTTACATTGGACACACATGACAAGCTAAATGACCTACTGCTGACTAGACAAATGCCAACTGGGAACTGAGGTCAAAAAATATGTCCTGGCCAGACAAGTGGTACATATTTAAAATCTCAGCTATTTGCACAGCTGAAGCAAGAGGATCACAAGTTCAAGGTCAGCCCAGGCAACTAAGCAAGACTCTCAAAAGTGAAAAGGTTGGAGATTTCATGCAGTGGTAGAACAACTCCAATACCAGGAAAAACAAACAAACATAACTATTATAGACTGTTGGGGATGAACATATACTTTGAAGAACAGTATAAATATGTCTCAAAATAATAAAAATAGAATTACCATATGATCCAGCTATCCACTCCCAGGTATATATCCAGAGGAAATGAAATTGGCACACAAAAGATACATCTAGCTGGGTGTGTTGGCACACATCTGTAATCCCAGCAGCTCCGGAGGCTAAGGCAAGAGGATAGCAAATTCAAAGCTAGCCTTAGCAACTTAGTGAAACCTTGTCTCAAAATAAAAAATAAAGAGGGCTGGGGATATGGCTCAGTGGTTCAGTGCCCCTGAGTTCAATCTCCAGTACCCAAAAAAAAATCTACCTACCTACCTACATATTTATTGCTATACCATTCACAGTAACTACTATATGTAATCAGCCTAGGGACCCATTGATGGATCAATGGATAAAGAAAAGTGGTGTGTGTGTGTATAAATATATATACATATATACACACACACACACATATATATCATACATACATACGCGCGCGCGCACACACACACACATAAATGGAATAATGTTCAGCCATAAAAATGAATGATAGCCTATCATTTGCAGCAAAATGGATGGAACTAAAGAACATTATGTTAACTGAAATAATTCAAATGGAGAAAGATGCATGTTGTAGATCAATGGTAGAGCACCTGCCTGGGATGTATGAGGCACTGGGTTCAATCCTCAGCAACACATTTAATTAATTAGTTAGTTAGTTAATTAACGGTTAAAAAAGTGCCCTATCTTAAAAAAAAAGAAAAGAAAAGAGTTGATGTAGGCTAGAAGTGTGGTGTGGTTCAGTACAAGCACTTTACTAGCATGAGTGAGGCCCTCTGGGTTCAACCTCCAGCACTACAAAAAAAAAAAAAAAAAAAAGAAAAAGCAAATGTTGACCTTAATGTAAAACAGTAATTACTAGAGGTTGGAAAGGTGGGAAGGATAGAGGGAGATTGGATAACAAAAAAAAAAAAAAAAAAAAAACCATAAGAAATAAGTCCCAGTGTTCCATAGATCAGTGAGGAAACTATAATGCATAAAAACCTATTATATATTTTATGAATAACTAGAAGAGAAGAATTCTAAGGCTTCAAACACAAAGCAATAAGATAAAAATCTTAATTACCTTGATTTGATCAGTATACATTGTACACATGTATGAAAATATCACACTGTTCCTCATACTGATAGACCCAACTGATCTTTTATTAAAATTGGGAGCCATCTTGCCACAAAGCCATGAAAAGATAATTTCGGC